AAAGTTAAGTTGTACTACGAAACAAAATTTAAAAGCATTTTCGAAACAACACATGGGTAGACTCAAATATTTTGAAAGTGTTATAATGTCTAGCTGTATCTGTATGTGATTATTACTCCCTCCGTTCTAAATTATAAATCGCTTCAATTTTTTGGTTCATCTATTTTGCTATGTATCTAGACATATTATTATATCTAGATACATAGTAAAATGGATGTATTAAGAAAATCAAAGCGACTTATAATTTAGAACGGGGAAGTATGAAAGTGTTATTCAAGACAAATCTAGCAATATTCACTACAAGAAATATGTGGTTTTTTTGACGTATTTAGCATGACAACATGTCAGAATGTCATTATATCATCCAGTTTATGACATTCTGTTTTAGGCACTTCGACTTAGTGACAATAAAAAGTTGTATGTCAAAAAAAACATCATATAGCTAGTCCAATTCCATCCAGTGACAATATTTGCTACGTCATAGAGGCATTTTCTACGTCACAAAGTCTAATTTATAAATGGTATCAACCTATGACAAAGTTTGTGTGTCAAAAAGTAATTTGTTAATTTTTTTAAACATTGTTGTCCATGTTGGCATGTTTCACAGCCATGTGATTAGGAAGGTACATATTCTTTTTAATTTTAATTGTTTTTTTCAACATATTTTAGTCCACTGTTGTCTATATTTCACGGCCGACGTAATTAAATGTGGCGCTTTATTTTATATACGCCTAATCACTACAATAGAAAAAATAAGCAAAATGACACATATTATCTTGGAGAAAAAAATAAAATACATTTCAAAATTTTATGAGCAAGGGTACTCAAACCTAGGATCAGACAAAATAAAAGCAAGAGTCTTGCCATTGGGCTACAAAGAAGTTTCAATTATCTTTTGCAGTTCATTCTATATTATAGTTTGTATAGAAGCGAATTGACTTAGGCTCTGGAGCACAGGCGCCGAAAACTGACTGTGGCCATACACGCATACGAATAAAACTGAAACATGTGGTTCTGTTTTTATATAAAAAAGAAGCAAAAATTAAGCCAAAATGGAATTAAAAAATGCCTCTCCTGAGCCCATTTTTTTCTCTTGTGCAGAAATTAGAAGACCTCCTCTCTTTCTCTTGGGCCTAAACCACCCTCCTCTCTTCTTTTTGCAAGCCAGTGGCCAGCCCAACGCCCTTCCCTTCCGGCCCATCGACCACCTCTAGCCCAGGCTCGTCCCTTCCTCCAGCCCAACTTTTTTAGCAACTCCACAAGCCCAGCTCGTCCCCCTCCTGGCTCTTCTCGCCAAAGCGGCCCAGCCAGCCTCCCGGTTGGCCTCACTCCGTCCCTCAGGCCCGTTCAGAAGACAAAAAATTATCAAAACAAGTGTGGCATTGGAGGTTTAAACCTGCGACCACTTGGGTTGGAGGACACAGCTTCACCATAGCTTCACTTGACCATGTTTCGATCTATCCAAAAATAAATAAATATCTACGTTTATATATTTATATTATTTAAAAAGCATAGATTATTTTATATTGGTTCGTCACTCTCTTATATGTTTATATGAGTTAGAGTAGCACGTCTAACTAGCCATGTACAGTGCGAAGTATATAATCCAAAAATGAATATGAACAATAATGTGATAGTTAGATAATAAATCTTTAAATCTCTCCCGCTCATGTAAGTTAGAGTAGCTAATGTACATCGAGGAGACAATAGAAAATCCAGTTCCAAGATGAATCCTAACCCATGATGCGATTATTAATAAACCTCCAAACTGAAGTCGTCCAAATGACCGTGTCATAATAGGTACATCCCGTTGCAACGCAGGGCACATTTGCTAGTAATATCTAAACTTGGCTAGAAAAATCTACAAACTTGCATAACAACATGATTTTTGTGTACAATCATCCCACAAAAAATTCAAATAATTTTAACAAAACAGTATTGTACATCGTTCACAAATAAATATATCTCACACATAGTTATATAACTAAGTGAGAGATCCTTCTAGCTGTGAAGGATGTATAGTCTCACTTGATCAAAATTGCCTGAAATTGTTATGGAGTGCTTATGGACTCAAAATATGTTTTTGTGTCAGTTTGCAGAATTATCTGACCAAATTTAGTTATTATTATAATTATTCGTTGAATTACTATAGAATAAATGTAATAATATCTAAACTTGGTTAGAAAAATCTACAAACTTGCATGACCTTATGATTTTGGTTAGAAAACAACACTTAAATATTAAAGTTCCGGTAAACATTGTATTGGGGCACACATGTGTATACTGGTAAGTCAAATACATTGTAACATTTAATTTGCTATGAAAATTAAAAGAAAAATAAAAACAGTAAGGTCTGAAAAGTTTTTGTCTTGGGCTCAATTAGGTACTTAGTCCAAATTTTTATAGGCCCAACATGTTTGGCGTTGAGTCAGTCCAGCCCAATGCCATTCAACGTATAAATGAGCTCCCGAAAACCCAAACCCTCAGCCTCCGTCATTCTTCCCACCACACCGGCCGCCAGTTCTCTTCCCTCCCTTTGCGCCTCCTCATTCTTCTCTCCCAAGTCCCACCTTCGCACCCAACACGACCGGCCACCGCCCCTCCTAGTCCAATCCGTCGGCGAGTGTGACCTGGTCACTACAACGGCTGCACGCGGCCTAGGATCCCCGTCAGAGTTGACTCAGGTACTCCTTCGGTGGCCGCTCACGGCCTGGATTCTCGTCCGGTGGCGGCGCGCGGCCTGGACTCTTATCCGGTTGCGGCGCGTGGCCTGGTCTCGTCCGGCGGCTGCACGCGTGCTATCCTCTTCCCTTTGCGAGATCTCGTCCTCCAGCATCATCAGCCTGTTCGGGAGGCCGTATCGTATCGTGGATTATTTACTGCTGGCTGGTTTGGTGTGAGAGAAAAACACTATTCCCACTCGGAAATTTACGATCGTTTACGAGCAAGCGAACATACTGGATCTGGCGGGGTTCTATCTCCCGGAGTGAGCCAGCGAATCTTCTCTGTCCCTTAGCCTCTCTCTCTCTATCCCCTCACACGGTCCACCTTGTAGGTACCGAGATCCGGCGTGGACAAGGGCCACAAGGCCTCCGGCGACTCTCTGCGTGTGCGCGAACCGGACAGTGCTTCAAGCGTCCTAGGCAAGTGCCTCCATTGTCGATGGCAAGCTCTTCAGCAACTGACTGACATCCGTTCGTGTTGTTTAGGTACGAGCAGTCATAACTTTCAACCTCAAGCCTTTTTCCTTTGCTGAAATTGGTGCTAAGTGTGATTTATAATTCTTCTGTTGTTCCGGTACAGGTTTCTCCACCTTTTTCTTGCTTGTCGTGGATGCATATATATAATAGAGTATTGTTGTTTCAGCAGATCGATATGATGACAGTAATTTTACTCGATGGAGAGTTTAATTTGTGAAATCCAAATTTCATTGTCACTGTCTCTAGTCTGTTGGTCGACTATATCATTTTCCTTTCTGAAAATAAAGCAGCAAACCCTAGGCTTAGACTATTGGTCGATGGTATGAAATTCTGTTGGGATTGAAGAAAACATTCTGTTAGGACTGCATATAAGATTATGGTAACTAGCTGCTGCTTACTGCTTCAGCAATCTATTTATTCAATTTCTTGAATCAAAGTTCTAAATTTCTGACTGTTTCTATGGCAGGTTCTTTTATGTATCAAGTGCTTGTGCGGCTGTGCCTACATCTACCTTATTTGAGCGGTTGGAAACTGAGTTAGTGCTTTCTTATTATATGACTTGTGTAATTTTGATGGTGTTTTTTGTCTGATTTTAGGAAAATCCAGAAAACTTGATTGTGTCGGAAGATATGGAAGATTGCCGTAGGTGTTTTGTACAGGAATATAGGTCTTAATAGAATAAGATAATGTTTTTGTAATTTTAGTTTTGATCGTTGTTAAAATGCCACTGGATATGTAAATTATGTGTATTTGCATTGTTGATTTATTATATTGATCTCGACCTTCAATAATGTAAAGTGTGCTGGGCCAACATGTGATTTGTGGGCTGCAAAAAATATGGGCTGCAAAAAATGTTTGGGCTGAAAAAATATATGGGCTGAATTGGGAGGGTTGAAAATTGTATGGGCTGCAATCTAAAAACTATAAACAACGAAAATGAATAAAGGGCCAGCCAACAATGGCCCAAACAATATTTGTGGTCCATGAGCTACGTGGGTTTTAGCAGGCTAAATCTAATTTTGTGATGTTTTTTTTTCTGCCAAGTCAGCTGCCATGTGGCAAGGCCTAGAATTTTGTGACAATAAAGTAATATCGTAAGCTTGTGACAATAAATATACAAACGTCATATGATCAATTTGTGACGCTAGTTTTTTTATGTTTGAATTTTTGTCAACTTAAAGTCATAAATCTTTAGTTGTGACAATAATTCCATATGTTTTGACATAAATAGAATGTCAAAAATCCACACATGTCTTGTAGTGATTATATATATATATATAAAATACTTTGAGACCTATTGGTATTAGTGGCGTTCAAGTTTCAAACCTTTTACCCGATTCGTGTTAAAGCATAATATATTTTGTGACTGGCCGGAGGGAGTACTACATGAGAAATTCATCTAGAATCTGGGCAGAATTGTTATTCTAAACACTACGTGAAAAATGGTTTGTAGCAACGGAACAAATTTTTTTAGGGGCGGCTGGTGATGGAGCCGCCCCTACAGTGACATGCTCGGGATCCACGAGACTAGTCGTCCCTATAAATAAAACAGCGGGGGCGCCTGGTGATACGAGCCGCCTCTACAAATGGGTAGGATTTGTAGGGGTGGCTCACTCACCAGCCGCCCCCGATATTTCTATTTATAAGGGCGACTGGTGATTGAGCCGCCTCTACAAATGCCCCACGTACACCCATCCAAAATATCTACCGCCCTCCTCTCTCTCTCTCTCTCTCTTCGTCTCGACTCCCTCTCTCTCTCCCTCGCTCTCCCTCTCTCTCTCTCCCTCGCTCGTTGTGCCGATGGCCGCGGGCTCCTCGCCCGCCCGCGCGGCACGGCAGCGCCCCTCCCCCCCACCCCCGCCCCGCGCCGCACCCTCCCTCCCCTCCGAGCCCCTCCGTCTCTCCCCCAGGCCGCCCCTATCTCTCCCCCAAGCGGTGACGGGACCTCCCTCTCCAACGAAGGCGCACGGCGTCGCACCCCCTCTTCTCCGCGCGGCGGCACTCGGCGGTGCACCCTAGGGTGGCGGGGGTTCTAGGGCGTGGCCTCCCAGCGGTCTTGTGGGGCTCGGTGCCCTCCTCCAGCGCCAGCAGTCACGCGGGGCCCCGTCCCCCTCCTCCTACGCCGGCGGCGCGCAGGACCCTGTCCCCTCCCCCAGCGGAGGCACGGTGGCGGAGCTCGGTGCCGTGGCTCAGTGGCATAGCCTCCTGTCGAGCTCCAGCGGTGGCGGGACTTGGTGGCGCGGTCCCCTTCACCTTCTCTCCTCCGGCGCGCTGCTGGAGGCCGCATGAAGCACATGGTGGCGGCCACCACCAGATCCGGCGAGGATGAGCTCGATGCGGGTCGCGGGGAGGCAATACTACGAGCGGCACAATTTTTGTTCTCTCAAAGTTTCAAGCTATTAACATGTGCAGGCATTTGTATTATTGTATTTAACTGTTTATTGGGTCATAGTACTATAGTGTTTTTGTCTAGTTTTCATTTGATTCATATAAATGTGTCGTTAATTCCTGCAGATCGTGGTTGGAAGGAAAGGATCAGAGCTTCTGACCAATGATGCTGGTGAAATCACAAGGCAAGAAATATTGCTTGCCCTGCCTGTGGCCTGTGGTCTGATCATTATCCACCTTATTTAACTTTCCATCTCTGTGAACTGTGTAGTCATCTGCAGGGTTTGTTGAACCGGACAGTAAGAATGTTAGAAGCAGGGATAAAGCCCGTGTAAGCTTCTTGCATTCCTGTGGTCCTTGTCAACTATTTGCAGTTAGCTTACTTTTGCTGACTGTGCTGAGCTTTTATGCTAGATTTGTTTTTGATGGTGAGCCACCTGGAATGAAGAAAAAGGAGCTTGCAAAAAGGTATGCGTCAAATTATTTCTTTGCTCATATTCACTATTAAATCTCAAGACACACATTTCTGATATTTACTATTATTTAGGTCCTTGAAGAGGGATGATGCTACCCAAGATCTTAACAGAGCTATGGAGGTTGGTCCTCAATGTAGTTTTAGAGCTTTTCTTACCGACCTTGTTTATCTTTTTCATTGTTTTTGATGGATTTCTAAAGTGCCAATTGCATTACAGATTGGGGATGAGATGCAATTGAAAAATTTAGTAAAAGAACTGTCAAGGTAATGATCATACTCTTTCAAGAAATAAGCAATGAAAAGTGTCCTTGAATTTATAACAGATGAAGCAACCTTCTAGTCTTGCATGAAATATGTCATTTGGAGTCTCTTTAGCAAAACGGTTTAAGCCTTTTAAGCAAATTGAGAGTGTTAGTACTATTTTTTGTTAACTTGTGGAGTCATTCTGAGCATGTACTGTGATTTCTGCCTTCCCTTTCCAGGTTACAAGAAAACACAATGATGACTGCAAGAGGCTGTTAAGATTGATGGGCGTCCCTGTAGTTGAGGTATCATTATTGCTTTTGTCCATCTGCCAGTTAAGTTGTTTTTCTTACTTTTCTATACAGATCAGCTACTGCCGTTTATTGATGTCTTCTTCCAGTGCCAAGGGGGCACTACTGGAAATCCATTCTTTGCCGAGGGCTAGATCTCGTGCACTTGGCAAAGGCTCCATTTGCCGAGGGCCAGACCCAGGAGCTCTCGGCAAAATAAATCTTTGCCGAGGGCCTATTCCTCGGCAAATATGGCCGGATGGGTCACGGCGGCCACTGGCGTCAGTCTTTGCTGAGTGCCCGCCGTCAGGCACTCGGCAAAGATTTTTTTTTAAATTTTCTTTGCCGAGGGCCATTGGCCAAGCCCTCGGCAAAGATCCCCTTTGCCGAGGGCCAGGCTAAACCCTCGGCAAAGATTTTTTATTTTTTTTAAAAAAAATTCTTTGCCGAAGGCCATTGGCCAGGCCCTCGGCAAAGATCTCCTTTGCCGAGGGCCAGTCTAGACCCTCGGCAAAGATTTTTTTTTGGTTTTTTGAACCCAGTTTTTTTGTGGTGCTATAATACATTATTTAAAACTCAATTTTAAAATTCGGATCAATTTTGACTTTTTTTGATATATTTTCCTAATTTATTTCTTTTCGTTGATTTTTTTTGAATATTTTAAATTTGAACTGCAGGTGGATGGAATAATGCAATTTAGTGATTCGAAAAATGTTATTCATGGTATTTAGTGTATGTTGAGTCCCTATCTACGAAATCGCATCAAATTTCGGGCATCTTCTTCACGTAACATGACGAGAAACTTGTTGGAAAAGTGTTTTTAAATTATATAAAATCCATACGAAGTCCGAAAATCACGAAACTTGTCGATCACATGTGGAGATGTCTGGGTTTTATGCATCCGGCGTCACAGCTTGCTCGAAACCTTCTTAATTTTTTACCACAGCTTACACATGCGATAACATGACACATCGACAAGTTTCGTGATTTTTGGACTTCGTATGGATTTTGTATAATTTAAAAACACTTTTTCGACAAGTTCCTCGTCATGTTACGTGAAGAAGATGCCCGAAATTTGATGCGAGTTCGTGGATAGGGACTCAACATACACCAAATAACATGAATAACATTTTTTGAATCACTAAATTGCATTATTCCATCCAAATGCAGTTCAAATTTGAAATATTCGAAAAAAATCAACGATAAGAAATAAATTATGGAAATATATCAAAAAAAAATCAAAATTGACTCAAATTTTAAAATTGAGTTTTCAATAACGTATTATAGCACAAAAAAAACTAGGTTCAAAAAACAAAAAAAAATCTTTGCCGAGGACCTAGCCTGGCCCTCGGCAAATAGGATCTTTGCCGAGGGTCTGGCCAATTACCCTCGGCAAAAAAAATTTTAAAAAAAATAAAAAATCTTTGTCAAGGACTTTGGATCTGGGCCCTCGGCAAAGGGCCTAACCCTAAATCGGCCAGCGGCTTGGCCCAAAATCCCCGCCCACATTTCATACGCCGCCGCCGCCGCCCCACGCCGCTGCGCGCCCGGCCGCCCCACCACCGCGCCGCCCAAGCTCACGCGCCAGCGGAAGCTGCGCCACGTCGATGTTGGCAGCGTCGACGTCGAGCCCGGGGACCTCGGCATCGACGACGACGTCTCCGACAGGTCCTCCTCCTCCTCCCCGCCGCAGCAGAGGGGCCGCTCCTCCGCCTCCGAGGCCATCGGGATCGCGGTCGGCACCCCCATCTCCAGGTCCGCCAGCTCCAGGGAGGGCGGCGCGCAGCCGCCCAGGTCCGCGTCCTCGCCCGTCCTGCACCCGCTGCCGCTGCCCTCGCCCAGGCTGCCGGACCCGCTCGGGATCGCCGATGGGTGGGGCGACAGGACGACGCTCGCGGCCAGGTGCGGTGTTTTCTGCTTCCAAAATAAATCACCCCTTTTTCTTCTTTCGCCCAATTTAATCGGAATTCAATTCGATCGCATGGATGACTGTATGTGTAGCATGGCTCGATTTGATTGCCTGTAGATTCTACTCACGTGTGTAGGGGAAGTGCTACATTTGCAGTCAATTTGCAATTGGCATTGTAGTATGATTCCGTAGTTCCAACAATCGGTTGAGATGTTACTTTCAGCTAGTAGTTGAAAGGCGTTTATGATTATTCGGGGATCCTTAGCATTTATTGAGATGTGGAAATGTAGGAACAAAGGGGATTGGGACTGTCTCTGTACTAGAATGTTTGTTTCAACTGAATTTTCGAGCAGTTGACAATTGCTCATAACAGACATCTACTACTATTGCCCTACAGTTCACCTGTTCTGGACAGAAGTCAACGAAAAAGGGGCTCTGCTTTTTAGTTCATCATGTAATCTTTGGGGAGTCTTGCAGATTGAAGATCGTTTTTACATTTACCTGGAATATGTTCACCCGGGTTCAATTAATAAGTATGTCAAACAACATTATGGAGCAATGACAGAATCAGTTATTCGCAACTTCACCCGCCATATTCTAATGCGTCTAGCATTTTTGCATGGCCAAAAGATTATGCATAGGTATGCAAATCCCTGTCATTGTTCAAATGCATTTTTTTTTGTGCCAGGTCAACTGGTATGTTGACTTGTGGCTTGGTTCCTAGTTCTTCTGTCTTGCTTAGGAGCTTCTAGTAAACTTTCGCAATTTTAGATTTTCCCACACAAAACTTTTTAGGAGAAACTTTCCCACAAAATACTTATTTGTATAATTTTTCTCACATAGATCTCCATGCTATTTGCCTCTTTTAGTTCATGTCGCTATGTTCTTTCTTATGTTGGCTTACTAGACTTTGGTATGCAAATTGGTTATTGCATCCGAGATCCAAATGCATCACTGTTGGAGTGTTGGTTATATTGGTCACCTTATCATGATACCTTGTCGTTTCTGTGGTCATTTGAACATATATAGGATGGGAGATGAAGGGGCTATGGTCTCATTTTTTTTTAAAAAAAAGAGTACTCATGAAAGTACATAAAAATAGGAACTTTGTTGACAACCATGAGCAGAAATAAAACTCAAGCCATCTTATTCAATGCCTTAGCTCACCTAGGCGAATATATGAAAAGGTGGAGGGCATAGCTTGTGTATCAAAGCTGAGCAACCTCAAACAAAAGTTTTCAAAAGAGTAACATGGAGTGCACCTCTCAGTATGGTTTTGATTGCTATATACTAATGCATCTGCTTTCAGTTTGTGTCATTTATGTAAAAGGCAATGAAAATATACACTTGCAGGGATATCAAAGGAGCAAATCTGCTAGTTGATGTTCAGGGTGTAGTCAAATTGGCTGACTTTGGAATGGCCAAGCATGTGAGTATAGACTCATGAGTTCAGTAACATTTTTCATGTGGCACCATTGACACCATTTTCTCGTTTTACCAGTTAAGTACTGCAGCCCCTAATCTTTCACTGAAGGGAACACCATACTGGATGGCCCCAGAGGTATCTTAAGATATTCCTTGTATTACTACCAACTTTTCATGCAACTAAGTATCAATTTAATTTTCTATGTACAACATGTGAACACCCCCCACACACACACACACACACACACACACACAAACTTGGTCTGTATAAAATTGTAATGTTGCATAACACGATAATACTATGATTTTTATCTAACCTTACACTGTTTTCAGCATGGGTTGTCAATTACAGTGTGAACTCGAGTAATATGCTCAGGCAAGATCGTGAAAAAAAAAAAATTGGGAGCTCAGAAGTTCAGTACTTACTGAAACTGCAAAGTACAGTGAGACTCAGAGCCTGTTGCATGGGCTGCTTAAAGTCAGTGTGTGCAACAAAGGAATAAGAACATATATTATGTTGATGGGCTATGAAGCTCTCTTAACTTTGTACGAAATGCATTTGTAATCAAAATAAATATTATTTGATATATGAACTCACAAACGGGCAGTTAGTTAGACAACCAATTGTGAGACATACAAAATAAAACAACAGTAGCTCATTTCTCTAGTTCACAGCTTGGGTGGCAGTTTTTTTAATGAATTAGTTAGCCTTTAGTAGAAAGCCAATTTGGCTTGTCAAATGAGCCTATTACTGTATTTTGCTGCTTCATGTATTTATTTTTATATCAAAGTTAGTAACATGCTTGTGACTAGAAATTTATTTGTACTGTTATTGATAAAATTTTTCTTTCTTCAGATGGTTCAAGCTACACTAATGAAAGATGTAGGCTATGATCTCGCTGTTGATATATGGAGTCTCGGCTGCACCATCATAGAGATGTTTGATGGAAAGCCTCCTTGGAGTGATCTTGAAGGGGTAATAACTTGAAGTATGCTTATATTTTACAATAAATTCTAGCATGTATTTGCATGACTCAAATTTTCCTAGTGTGCTTAAGCTCACTTAAAATGAAGCACTTTCCCTGTGTCATCCTTCAGTTGTGCTATCTGTGCTCCCTCCGTTACAGGCTTACGATATTTGCCCCATAGTGATCTCGGGATCCTTGACCAACCAAAATTATTGGTGCTTCTGGAAGCACCGAAGCAGTACTTGAGTCTTACATACATACCTGTTATGCTAATAGTCCTATATATATTTACATAATAGGTGAGGCCATCTGATTGCTCAAAGCCACAAGAATTGTGAAACTATCATGTCAATAACACCCACTGTTCTATACAAGAGAGGTCGAGTGTGATAAAGTTTTCATTCTCATACCTAAGGAAAACAACTGACCGCACACCTGCAGGCCCAGCAGGTCGCGTTCGAGGCCGCGCAGAAGCAGATGGCGGAGATGATGGTGATCATGCAAAGTCTTGGGCAAGCATCGGGTGTACCTGTGCAGTTTTCAACTCCTCCACCTTCTACTCCTGCAGGTACTCTTGTAAGTATGAAAGTTCACTTTCCGCTTGTGCTTTGCATGTATGTCGGCCTTCGTGCCGTTGTGGATGTCGGCGTTCGTGCCGTTGTGGATGTCGGCGTTCGTGCCGTTGTTTCTTGCAGGTTTTGAAAACCTCCCCGTGCAGGGGAGGTGCTGCCGAAATTTTCAATTGAGTCTAATCTTTTTGTATTCCTAGATTACTAGATGCAATCTCTAAGTTCCAAAACTGTTTTCCCGGATTACTCACACATGCAATCTCTGCTCCTTTGTGCAGCCTCCGTCCGCGGGTTCCAATCATCCCGGTAGTGCGTCATCGGGTGATCCCGCCTTTTCTTCACCACCGTCTCATAGGCTATCTTGATGAGGACTAGTGCTAGGTGATGTGGTTGGACTTTATTGTAATATTTGTGGTTTATGGTTCTGACTTGTGCTTGGATTTCATGAACTTATCGTAATAAACATGTGAATGATGATCAACATGTGACTTGTCGTTGTAATATATTGTGATTTGTGGTTCATAATTATGGTTGTCATATATTGTGAGAAAATGGGTTCTGTGTGATATATATATGTGATGGTTGATATATATATATATATATATATATGTATATATATGAAATGCTTGTGTCGATGGAATGCAAAAAACAAAAAACAAATAAATTTCTGCCTCTTTGCCGAGGGCAATGACCAAGGCCCTCGGCAAAGAAAGGTCCTTTGCCGAGGGCCGTCCCATTGCCCTCGGCAAAGAAAAGTCCTTTGCCGAGGGCCGTCCCATTGCCCTCGGCAAAGATTCATTAGAAAAATTCTGGAACATTTCTTTGCCGAGGGCCATGATTGAAGGCCCTCGGCAAAGACTTTTTTAAAAAAATTAAAATTTCTTTGCCGAGGGCCTGCGGGGACGCCCTCGGCAAGGATTTTTCAAAAAAAAAGAATAATTATTTGCCGAGGGCCGTCCCATTGCCCTCGGCAAAGATTTTTTGGAAAAATTCTGCAACATTTCTTTGCCGAGGGCCATGGTTGGAGGCCCTCGACAAAGATTTTTCAAAAAAAAAGGAATAATTCTTTGCTGAGGGCCCCCGGAGACGGCCCTCGGCAAAGACTCCGTCCCAGGCGCCTGCGCCGTGACGGCTGCTTTTCTTTGCCGAGTGCCGGTCCAGCCCTCGACAAAGGCTTTGCCGAGTGCCCGATAAAGAGCCCTCGGCAAAGACCCTCTTCGCCGACTCAAAATTCCCCGAGAGCTCTTTGCCGAGGGCCGCCCTCGGCAAAGCCTTTGCCGAGGGTTAATGGGCCTTTGCAAAGAGGCCGTCTCCAGTAGTGGGGTCAGTAGAATATTGATAATCTTTTGAACTTAAAGAATGGTTTTGCACTAGGATGCTTTAAGCGTTTGGTTAACTCCTATTTGTATGGCTTCTCAGACAGGTTTAAGCCATTCCCTCTGTCTTGTATATTAGCATTCCTGAGATTTTTAGCACAGATTAAGCATGCAGGGAAAAACTTCGATGCTCTTCTCTAAAGCGCTTGAGCCTTGGGAGACAATTTAATGAGTGCTGTTTTGAGCTTGTGACCGCGAGGTGGAATATTAGGAATGCTTAAAATACATACATATCTCTAGACTCTACATATCTCTAATAGTACACAGTTTTTAAACACCATAGATACATGGCCTGAGGGACTACATTTCAAGTTGAACTCATGAGTCAGCCCTCTAGGTTCATGAGCTTAGGGCTCTAGAAACTTTTTAGGTAAGCTTAGCCAAGTCTCTTGCTGATGGGGATTAAGCAGATGGCTTAACTGAAAATAAGATGTCTTTGGTATCGATTTAAACTTATTTGCTGTTAAGATTGGGCTTTAACTAGTACAAATAGACCATTGCTACGCATTGCACACGTTGATATGTAAACTTTGGCAATCAATAGCTGCCCACACATGATATAGATATTATCACTACGGAGAAAAACACAATTTGATTTTTTGATCGGGTGCGGGTGTGATTCTTCTGTCTGGACCACATTCTGTACTCTGATTTGATGGCAGCAATGCAAGCATGGTACCTGGTCTTTGTGATCTCGTACTGTTATAGAATAATAGGTAATAAGGTAAAAGACCACAAATCACAAATCCTTTGAAAAACTAGCCCAAGCCGTGGAACCGGCATGTAATTGGACCGCTTCTACCTTTTTATGGAATTACACATAGCTCTCCTGCGTGTTCGAGAAAAAAGGTAATAAGTAATTAAGTTTCCTGATCACTTCCACAGGCACCAGGGGAGGCTGAAGCACAGTGTGCAGCACTTTGTGAAAATCACCAGGTATACCAAGTTAATTCCTGTATCTTAGCATAATTTTATTTTTATTTCATTCTGAGTTGTGAATGCCAGGTTTATGCTGTAGCTTCAGAGGACATGGACTCACTGACTTTTGGTGCCCGAAGGTTTCTTCGTCACTTAATTGACCTTGGTTATAAGAAATCTCCTGTGACAGAATTTGATGTGTCAAAGGTATCATCACATATTTTCTTTATCTTCTTTTATCCTTTAGTGTCTTAGCCATTCTTTATGATTTTCCAGGTTTTGGAAGAACTTGGACTCACGATGGATCAGTTCATTGTCTTAGCATTGTTGTTTAGCTGTTAACATCTTTAGCTATCTAGGCAGCATGATAGCATTTTATGGTCAGTCGGACCAATACTCATGTTGTAGAGTTCCTCATCTAACAAGTAAGCATTAAGTAATATGTTCATTGTAGTTGGACCAAGACTCATGTTGCAGAGATTTGAGTTTCAGTAGAATCGCAGAAGAAGATAAGTCATGATGGAGTTGTGCATGAAAAATATATGTTCTGGTCGAATTTGAATTGTAAATTTGAAATTTTTTTGACGGAAAAATATATATTAGGGGCGGTTGGTACTGTAGCCGTCCCTACAAATCGATTTGTAGAGGCGGCTGGTGTTATCAGCCGCCCCTACAAATCGATTGTTACCAGCCGCCCCTACAAATCGATTTGTAGGGGCGGCTGATAACACCAGCCGGCTCTACAAATCGATTTGTAAGGACGGTCTGGGAACCGTCCCTACAAATACATGATTTGTAGAGACGGTATGATAGGAGCGGCTGACTGAGCCGCCTCTACAAACGATCTTTAGCCGCCCCTATAAATGATTATTGTAGTAGTGGAAATTTGCAACGACGACTGTTGATGGCACGATGAACTGATGATCACGCATTCATGTTCAGAACAGGGCCCAGTGCATGATACACATGCATGTATGTTTCACAAGTTTCAGAAAGAGGCCCAATGATTGGAGGGTTCCAAACTAGCTAGCGCCAGCGCACACCGTACCTACCGATCGGCGGACGTAATGCATGCAGTACGCACGGCGTCAACGGGTGGCACGCGGCCACGTACGCGCGGGCGAACCGCGAGCCGACGCGCGCGCACGGCTGGGCTGGCTCTCGGAGGGTCGTCAGCGCGCGACGCCGGCCGGCCGGCCGGCCGGGAACGGGAAGAAGCAGCCAACGACGTACGCGTGCACCGCATGCATGCGTTGATCGTGCGTGCCTGCGCACGGCACGGCACGGCAGCGTCATTATCTAAAAAGAATATATTGGCGCGCGCCGGCGGCGGCACCGACGACACGCCAGCGTTGCATGCCAGTCGGTTCGGCTGCTGATTCTGGTCAGATCACCATCTATCAGTTGGTTAGTAGTACTCCTATGTGCATGCATGTTTTGATTCCTCAACGGAAATCTCACTGGAGTATACCTATCTTACCCGTACGTGTTGACCGAATAAATAATAAATTTAATTAACCATGGATGATACTCGCCCAATCGACAAGTGATGATGGTATTATAGCTGTAGTAGCCTGTCGTAGGATCGGTCGTACTGAACTCAACTGATCCCCGATCGATCAATAATAGTAAGTAATCTATCGAGTTTTGATGTAGACGTTGCAGCATACAACTAGCTACGCAGGACCAAAATTTAAGCCATTCGTATAATACGCATGCTAGCTCTATACTCTAGCCGACCAAATGTGCATGCTTTAACAAACGAAGGAGATGTATTTGTAATGTAGTGTACGTAGTAGTAGTCGTCGTCGTATGCGACAGAGGCCTCGTTCGGTTTGCTGAATCTGGGTTGAAATTGGCTAAAAAAACACTGTTCTAACTGAAATGTTGTGAGAGAAAAACACAGTCCCAACTAAAAAAAAAAGAAGCCGAAGCCAAACGGGGCCAGAGAGATATGCTAGTACAACGACAGCCGATCTCTCTCTCTCGAGTGAGATGAGATGGATGATAATAATGCACGCACGCGTACATGTCACCCCTGCCGCCCCTGCGCCCCACCGCAACGACATCAACGTACTTTCTTCCCCCCACAGTCAGTCCCACGCCCAACCGCCGCCGGGCCGACGGTTGAGACGCCCCGCGCGCGCGCCCGCCCGGCTGGTTCGTGTGCGCGCGTGCAAATATGTAACTCCATATAGCGCCTAGGTTCCGCGCGCTGAGAACGCTCCGGTTACTGTTTACATACTGTTCACGAATCCTGTGCAGCCACGTGTCGTAGTGCGTGTCTTCGTTCAGCTACGGTTCGAGGCGCCGCCCCGTGGTTCGTCCGTGTCCCAGCCTGCGTCTATGAATCTCAAGAAAAAAAAAACACAACGCCTCGCCGCCTCCGCCTAGCTCCCATTCCATCTTCTTCGTGGTTCGTCCGTGTCCCAGCCTGCGTCTATGAATCTCAAGAAAAAAAAAAACACAACGCCTCGCCGCCTCCGCCTAGCTCCCATTCCATCTTCTTCGTCTCCTCCGGCCGCCGCGAGCCCGGCTCCCGGCTCCCGTCCGCCGCGCGCGCTGATGCCGCCTGCCACCCGCCGCCACCGCTTCGTCTCCACCTCCTCTCCCTCTCACCCCGGCCGCAGCGCTCGCGGTGCCGCGCCCGGCCGCTACACATCGATGCCCCAGAAAAAACTGCCTAGGAGCCTCGCTGCCTCCGCCTCCTCTTCGTCCTCCTCTGCAGTCGCGGCGCGCGTGGATGCGGCGCCTGGCCGCCTCGCCGCGGTCGCAATGACTTCATCCTCTTCCTCTCCCCTGGTGCCAGCAAGCGCGCGGCAGCTACGCGGGCGGGGCGCTTCGTCGCATCTTCCTCTCGCCCAGCGGCGACGCGCACGGTGCCTCCTCCTTCCAATCAGTCGTCACTGCCAGCAAGACAAGGACAGTGGTGGCGATGGCCGCGCGAGATGTGGCACCAGCGGCGCGAGATGCGGTCACGGCGGCGCACAAAAAGTAGATGCGATTAAGGTACCCTCGCCTCCTCCAGTTCAGCCCACGGTATCCCTCCCTAACTCTTTGCCTTACTCCTCCGACAGAGTCGATGGAGTTAGCGGCGAGCTCGCTGTCCTCCTTTTTCCTCGGTGGCTCCGTCGATCCTATCCTCTCCATACAGATGGACTTGGTGCCTGCTTGCCCACCTCGCAGTAATGCATCGTTGCCTTCCTCCCTCTCCTCCAGGGACTATTTGGATCGTAGAGCGTGGCCAAGGCTGCATCAGGCTTGGTAAGATAATCCTCTTGACCTCTCTCTCAGGCTCATCCACCCCCTCCTAATTTATTTCGTGATTGGTTTTTTCATTCAGTTTCTTACATGCTTTTTTTATTCACCAAAACTTCCAAACACATGGCAATATTTGATTCATCGTATCTGTTGCTGCTCCACAGAAGGGAGTTCCAATTTCATGGTAGTTGTGTAGTGCTTCAACGATGCCATGTGCTCTCCTTCCATTCTTTCATTTTTCCTCCTCAAATTAATTAGCTTCTTGGTGCTTTCCATCTGGTATGGTCCAAGGCTGGAGTGATGTTTCTTTTTCTTTGTTTCAGCACAAATTAGGATGGCAACAACTGTTCTTCCTGGATATGCCACATTGGCTATTAAAATCCCATGGTATGGTAGTCCTTATGATTGGCAATTTTCGCAATATTCTTCCATACCTCAATTACAACTGATGATAGGCAAAACTGATGCAGCTACATATACATTCATTGCCAAAATTAAGAAAAAAAAAGATTCAAGCACATTCTTTATTGTTTTATTTAGCCAAAACAGATACATCAGCTAGTGACATTAGTCATAGAACCTGGAGCACAACAGCAGGGCTGTGCTTTTTTTCTAATTAAACCAATACAATCTGCAGGTATCAAACTTTGTTCTTGCCGCTAATCTGATGCCAACACTGCCAGTGGAGCCTCAAGTAGTCAAACTGGCTCTCTTTGCTCTAAAAGGAACAGAAATTTACCTGCTCCAGTCAAACTCTCATCTGTGTCGATGGTGCTCTCTGGATCATCGGAAAGGGTCCACATTACACATCATGTCGAAGGTACTGCAGTTGTCCCATAAATCTGCTACACTGCAGTTGTCCCATGAATCTGCTAAACAAGATTAATCATCTTTTGCTACATATCACAATTCTTGTGCCTGTTATTACATATGTAGTTTTATTCCTACCTGCCTAGCCCCACGGATTTTGCTTATGTAATTTTATGTTTACCAGCCCAGCCCGCCAGATGCAACATCCACCTTTACTGATAGCTGAACAAGGAGATCTTCAACGCAACACACAGGAGATGGTCATGTTTAGCCTGCAGCTGCACCAATCATCCTTAAACCTGTAATGTTAATACTTCACATCTATTCTATTGATCTATTGGCATCTCAGAGGTCAATTGCATATATTTACTAAACGCCTATAGCTGAACAAGGAGATTTTCAACACAACACACAGGAGATGGTCATGTTTAGCCTGCAGCTGCACCAATCATCCTTGAACCTATAATGTTAATACTTCACATCTATTCTATTGATCTATTGGCATCTCAGAGGTCAATTGCATATGTTTACTAAACGCCTATTACTTGATAGCACAAATCGATCTTCTATCACACTACCATCTACCAACATAGATGCTTCATGTATGTCAGTTGATGTTATTTCTCTTATTGAGCTTGAGTAATTGAACCTGAGGCTGAGCTAGCTTACTAGGTTGAGACTGAAACTGCTTTGTCTCCATTGGTATCTGCAACAAGTTCTTTCAAAAATATAATGCTGCATCATCTTGATTATAAGATATGGGGTTTACATACTATTTAGATACTGTTTCTTTTGGTTGTGTTTTTGGCTAACATGCTAGCACTTTATATGGCAGTATCTAAATTCTACCATTCGATGGTATATGATTATTATAGGTTCAGCCTATACTTTTTCAAGCAAAAGCATACTATCGATTGGCAGTAGCCGAACCTTGATATCAGCTGCTTAAAGAAGTACCTAGACTACTGCCATTTACGACATAAAAATATGTTCATATTATTAGTCAGACATGGTTTAGGCCTTTGGGCAACCAAATAACCTGACACTAGGACAATGGCTAGGGTCCAAACAATCCTCATCTTCACTGAGCTGCTGTGCAGCGTATTTTCTCAAAGAACTCCCCACCAGCACCCTATCCCTTGACAGCAGTGAAATGTGTGGTGTTAAAACAAACGTGTTAATGATTGATTCACATAACAAAGTATGAGCTTTGCTGCAATCTGGTCTTGAGATAGTAAATCGTTCATTCTTTTTCAGCGATTCGGCAAGCT